TTTTTGTTTTTAAAGCCCAATAATTTTTTTAATTTTTTTTTAAATTTCTGCAAACCTGGAGTATTCAGGTTTGTTGAAAGATCTGCCTTGCCCATTCACAGCTCTGGTCACTTGATTTAAGTAGCCTCAGATTTCACCAACTTCATTAGTAGTGTGTACAGAGCATAGAAGTTACAAAGGAATTAATCTCACTTTGAATACAAATGAAAGGATTGCAGCATTTCAATCAGGCAACACTGTTGTCTACTGACTATAGGTGCAAACCTAAATGGGCAGGAAAAACAAGACTGTAATCTTATGCTAGCCTTTGTGCAATACTTTCACAAGTCCCCTTTAAATTACAATAATGTGATATCCCAAGCTAAAGGATAGAAAACACTCATGTTTGAAGAGTGAACAGAACATAAAAAACAACATATCATAGATTTATTTTATTGATAATGGCTACCTGTGCATTTCCAGAATTAAAAAGGTACACTAAATATTGCAAGAGCAGATCAGAAGAGACTGTTGTGTTGTTCATCACTAACAATGGGGAAAAATGCAAGAGGTACCTGTGATACCTACACAGTTGCGTTCCACATAACAATCCAATGTGCACCTCCCCACACATTAAGATTATTACAGGGCTTGTTGAAGGTGCCTCACCCATGAGAGTACTGCTTAACAGCCAGTCAAAACTCCACTGGCACCAAAGTATAGGTGTGTGTCCGTCCATCTGCAGGCTGCATTATTGTATATGCTTATCATACAATACAGGATACAGGATAATATAACACCAAAACAAACTATAAGAATCATAATTACAATATCTTGGATCCAGAGAGACTCTTGGGTAGGTGGTAGTAGGGTGGCTAACCTCTAGGTGGGCCTTGAAGACCTACCAGAATTACAACTGATCTCCAGACTACAGAGATCAATTCCACTTGAGAAAATGGCTGCTTTGGAAGGTGGACCTTATGGCATTACAGACTGATGAGCTCACTTCCTTCCCCAAACCCCACCACCCCCAGGCTCGACCCCCAAATCTTCAGGAATTTTCCAACCTGGAGTTGGCAAGACCAGGTGAAAGGCACTGCCACATATAAGGGTGGGGAACATGTCCAATTCCTTCCTTCCTTCCCTTGTTTGTTTGTTTGTTAATTTATTAAAAATAGACAACAGGATGAGTTATCTACAAATGAGTCCCCATGAAATAAATCAACCCAAGCCCTATCATTGCAAGACATCCAACCAAATGTCCTCATGTTTTGTAGACCACTCTTGTGGAAACCACTATAATGCTGTTTTATAGCAAAGCCTAACATACCTTCTTGTCAAAGATCTGTAGATGACATAGAATTGTGCTTCCAACCCTGCAGAACTAATCTTTTAGAATGTAGTATGGTTGCCAGCCCCCCCTGGAAGTGGGGATCCCCCCACCAGGTCCAACTCCCTGTCACTGGTCAGCTGGCTGGCAGGGGGGACTTACCTGAAGAGAGAGGGAGGGCTAGGCTATGTGGCCAGTAATGTGGTGGTGTCATTTCCAGGCAACACTCTGGTGTTTGGGCAAAAACTCTATGGTAGAAGCCATTTTTTTTCTTGGCTAAATACTAGAGCATTGCCCTGACATTGCAGTGTGATGACGTTGCTTCCCTTTCATTCCTGGTAAGTCCCCCCCATCCCCTGCTGGATGCCATGAGGGACCTAGCCAATGTTCCCTCTAAGCTGTTGAGTCTTGTGAGCAGAAATTCTACTTTGTGAGCTACTGGCATTAAAACTGTGAGCAGGCGATTTGGCTGCTGCATAAATTAGTTTGCTCCGGAGCCCTCCTTCCTGAGCTAAGGCAAAAATCTGTGAGCTGGAGGCTAAAAAGCTGTGAGCTAGCTCACACTAACTCAGCTTAGAGGGAACACTGGACCTAGCAATCCTAGGCTGTAGCAGTCACCCACAAGAACTATAATTTGTTCTCCTTTCTAAGTGAATCACTAGGTGAAAAAGACCAAGCAACAAATACATCTCTGACAGGTCTAAAGACATACCTAACAAGTTTATCTGCTTTTTTACTTTATGTCACAGTTAGGGCTGCCAAGTCGGGGGGCGGATTTCCCCCTGCTTTGGAGGCCCGATTTCTGCCGCCGCGGAATCGGGCCCCGGGGGAAACCCCACCCTGGGCGTGCACGTCACCCGGAGGTGACGTGATGACGCCGGGCACATTGGGGGCGGGGCCACAGCCATCTGAGGGGAAAACAGACGCCGTCTGGGAGCCCCCCGCCACGGGGCGAAAACGACTTAGCAACCCTAGTCACAGTGGGACTATCCCTGGGCAGAACCACATTGTATGAAATAAGGTCCCTCTTTCCTTGTTGCACTGTCAGCAGCAGGCCTGTAATATTAAACCTGATTTGACCAAACTGACATTACACTCGGAAGTAGGGTTGCCAGGTCCCTCCTGGCAACTGGGGAGGGGATGGGGGGACTTACCAGGAACAGCAGGGAGGCCCAGCCCATGTACAGTGACATGTCTATTTCACTGACCATGTGACCCAGAAGTGATGTCATCATGTCTGGGATGTTGGGGCGATGCTCTGGTATTTGGGCAAAAACTCTATGATAAATTTGCCTTCAACCATAGAGTTTTTGCCGAAATACCAGAGCATTGCCCTGACATCCCAAATGTTCCCTGACATCACTTCCAGATCACATGGTCACATCATAAACACATCATAGGATTTGTTCCCCTCTGCTGGCCAGCTGATTGGCAGCGAGGTGGTGTGCCTTGGCAGCAGGGGACCCCTGCCTCCACGGGGAGTCTGGCAACCCTACTTGGAGGACTATTTTATGTTGCATCAGCCATCAGTGATCTAATGAAGTCTGTTTAATACTTTCCATTGGAAAGCACCAAATTCAGTGTCTATGGGTGATTTCCCACAAGCGCTGCTCCACGCTCACTCCTCCCTTTTGTCCCGATGGTACATGTCAATTTCACACAAGCTGCTGCGCGGCCGCATTTTGCCCCGCAGCTTCGTGCGATTTCCCCTGCGTCTACTCAATCCTAAAAAAACAGGATTGAGTAGACACAGGGAAAATTGCACAAAGCTGTGGGGCAAAATGCAGTCGCGCAGCAGCTTGTGTGAAATTGACACATACCATCGGGCCAAAGAGAAGAGTGAGCGCGGAGCAGCGCTTGTGGGAAATCACCCTATATCTATTCCCTGTGCTTCATGGATGTTCAGAAGCTTAGGACTTAGTTCCAAATATAGAAATACATATAGCAGTTTATGGACTTGTGGTAGAGATTCCATAGTACTTAGAAACATGAAAACCTCAGGAGCTTTGGAGACCATTAGCACTTCTGGACTACACCCTGATTGTAGTCGATGCTTGGGGTTGACAACTCTGGGTTGGGAAATACCAACCTGGACACTTGGGTGTGGAGCCCAGAGAGT